TCCTTCTCCTCCTCCTCCTTCTCCTCCTCCTCCTTCTCCTCCTCCTCCTTCTCCTCCTCCTTTTTCTCCTTCTCCTTCTCCTTCTCCTTCTACTGCTACTGCTTCTGCTTCTTCTCCTCCTCCACCTCCTCCTCCTTCTTCTTCTTCTTTTTCTTCTTCTTCTTCTTTGGAAGGGACCTCATAGGTCAACTAGTCCAACCCCATGCTCAAGCAGGAGACCCTATACCATTTCTGACTAATGGCAGTTCAATCCCTTCTTGAAAGACTCAAGTGATGAAGCTCCCACAATTTCCGAAGGCAACTTCTGTTCCCTTGATTGATTATTCTCCCTGTCAGAAAGTTCCTCCTTATTTCTAGGTTGAATCTCTCCTTGGTCAGTTTCCATTCCTCCTCCTCCTCCTCCTCCTCCTCCTCTGCTTCTTCTTCTCCTTCTACTACTCCTCCTTCTCCATCTTTCTTCTCCTTCTCTTCCTCCTTCTCCTCCCTTCTTCCTTCTTCCCACTCTCACCTTCTTAACACGCTGCATTTCACCCACCTTCTGAGGAGCTGTGAGAATGGGAGGTTGAGAAAGAAGGAGAGGAAAGTCTCTTTGAATTAGGAAGTTGGAAATGTTCACTTAGAATATTACAGATTGCAGAACCAACCAGTCAGCGTTACTGAAACCAGACAAAATTGTTTACACCAGCCCCCATATTTTGAGTGTGTCCTTCAAGCAGATGAAGATCAAGAAAACCACCTATGCGTCACCGATTGAGGGATGAAGATGACAAAGCAGAAGGTTGTGGAGAAGATGGATGGTTATCAAAGATGAACATGGAAATTTAAAGGGCAGGAGAGTGTCCACCCTGACATCATTATGCAAGTGAAGTGACTTAAAATTCGCATTATTGGATGGGCATCCTTCCATCATGGTTTTTACGTGACACCTATGGATATTATCGCTGTGTCCTGCAAGAACTAGAAGATATTACTAGAAGCAGATCAATCTTGGAAACATTTGAAATCACAGCCCATCAGTGGCGTCTCATTAACAAAATTTGAGAGGAACCTCTCAGAATGGAAATTTGAGCTCCAGAATTTCAGATACAACCTTAGTTTGAAATCAGAGTGCATTCACCTTTTGGAAACCAGAGGTTTTCCAGATGTCCTGGACTTCAATTCCTATAATCCCCAGCCTGTATGGGAGGCGAAGTCTAACATATTTGGAAATGGACAAAGTTGGGGAAGTCGGATGAAATAGTAAGCCTAGCTAAAAAGGTTTGAGCATGATTGCCAAGAAAACATGCCTGAACTTCTGCTAGACAACAGATATTTTGGGGTGCCACCTCCTCACTTGGAAGAGATTTTTAAGCCATAGCTTGTTTTTCCACCACTTCCTGACTAAGCCTTGGTTGGTTGGCTTCTCACAACACATCATTAATCCATTGAGCATTGTGACTTTCAAGAGTCCCTGAAGAGCAGACCTTTTGAATCTCCTACTTCCACATGTGTTGTAGATCTGAAATGTGAAGGAAGCTGAGCTGGGTTAATGGTGGGTTGTTTTCTCCCCCTCCCCCCCCCAACATAGGTTGATCTCTGAACCTTTCACACTTATGGGGCAGAACGTTATGGCTCATGCACCGTCATGTTGTTATGCTGCTAGAAAGACCTCCCTTGTTCCATGCTGGGACCTCGGAGAGAAATGTAGAAACCAGATGGAGAAGGCCACAGCTGGAGAACCCATAAGCATCTCTCTTCCTGACAGATGATTTAAGTTCCTGAACGTCGTGGACACAGACGAAACTCTAACCTGGGAAATCCGCTTAAAAATGCCTGGAACTCACATCCAAAGAGACACGTCTTGTAGATCTGCCTGTCACAGAGATTTCAAGGGTGCATTTATCCCAAACATCCATCCTTGATGCTCCTGTGCTCTTAGAGGCCCTCGTGACCTCTAGGCTGGAATACTGCAACGTGCTCTACATGGGGCTGCCCTTGAAGAGCATCCGGCGGCTTCAGCTAGTCCAGAATGCGGCCGCGCGAGTGATTGTGGGTGCACCTCGGTTCGCCCACATAACACCTATCCTCCGCGAGCTGCACTGGCTACCTGTTGATCTCCATGTGCGCCACTGTTTCCTCTAAGGTGCGTGCCTGCGCGGCCACGCACGTGGCTAGAAACCCCCGCGCAGAGATTTCTAACT